TATATATATATATATATTTATATAAATCATTCTATTATCTACTATATAACTATTTTTTAATTAATTATATTTTTATAATATTTTTATAATAACGATATCACATATGAAAGATAAAATTAATTTGTTTGATTATTATTCGTGAACACAGTGTGTGTTGCATAAAACTTTGTATTTGACCCAACGCCACACACACGTTGTCTCTCTACGTAATATAAATTTAATAAGGCATCATTAGTTTTCATAATAAGGGTTTCAGTATAGTTCATTCCCTAGATCAAATATTATTATGTACATCCGCCATTTGGTTCAAATTATTGAGGACATTTTTGCGAAAGAATAATTTATCTTTCGTTGAATATTAAATTTCCACGATTATTAGAAAAAAAATGAGTAATCCAGGAAATAGGATTCAGGATATTATATATAGGTAATATTTATATTACAGTTCCTTTTGACTTGCAGGCCTTGACATTTGTATAATTATCAATCCATTTTTCTTTTCCCTCATCGTTTATCTCATTGATATATTTTTTTTTCTTTTGTTAAGATTTAATCTTGTAATTCTTTTTATCGACACGTTAAAAACTGTGATAAATATAAAAATATAATCTTAATAAGATACTTATCCATCGTTAAGATCTTAAGATATATATGTATATAAAAGATAATATCAACAATATAAAAGATTATTGTATTTATTTAAAGAACTAATTTATTAAAAAGCCATCTCTGACTACAAAAAAAAAACTATTTCTAGTTTCTGACTTATCTTTCTAACATCCTTTTAATTTTTAAAGGTCACATGGGTATCCCTAGATTAAAAAATCATTAAATAAATTTGATCATTTAAAAAGTATTACATGAACTTGGTCATTTAACAAGTATTAAATGAATTTGGTCATTTAACAAGTATTAAATGAATTTGGTTACTTAACAAGTATTAAATGAATTTAGTCATTTAAAAAGCATTAAATGAACAAATTCATTCACAAAGAATTAATTAAATAATTCATAATAATTATAAACAACTTCTTTTTTTCGAAATTCTTTCCTACATGCAAAGTTTGTTTATCAGAAGAATTACAAGATTAAATTCATCTGGAATCTTTAGAATTAAAACCAAATTGGAATATCCTATAATAAATAATATTAAGATTATATGTAAAGTTTTCATAAAAAGTAAATATACTAAATTCAAAGTCATGTTACATGGTATATACATATATATATATACAGCCGAAAGATAAAAGAATTTATGTGGCATAGCCTCATTTCAAAGAAGCCACATCATTGGATATCTTCTTGGTCTCTTTCACGTTGATACAGAGAAAATAAATTGACATAGATCTTAGCATCCCTTAGTTGCTTGTCAAACTTGAAATTGAATTTAACCGCGTTTAACCGAGCCAATATATATATCACTATGACGTTTTATTCCTGTCATAAGCTATGACTAATTCAATGGATATACACGCCTATATGACGACAAAGACGACAATAGACAAGGATGAATGATTTTCTTCTTCTTCGAAATAGGTATTCCTACGAAATAGGATTACACGTTTGATTATGAATTGGCCTAATTTATTTGATTGGTGAATACCTCTGCGCTGTGTTACGGGATTGGTTGCTTCATGTCACGCGTTTCCGAATTGCTATGACGACCTTATTACCCGAAGAGTTTGTTAAGATGAGAGAAAGAAAAAAAGATGATGGTAAAAAAGTAAGCAATGAAGGAAAGGAGAAAGTTTTCATATTAAATAACAGAAAAATAATAGTTATTCATACCTGCTGTTGTCGACGTCTGAATAATTCATTTTTCAGGGTTGTGTGTGAATCTTGTTAATATATAATAACGTATTTCGTCGTACGAATAAGTAACAGAAGTAACAGAAGACAGACAAACTTGCCAGCTGATTTTTTCGGACTCTCACACTACACTGTCACAATGTCGCGTTGCTCACGCGAGGTAAGAAAAACGTGCGTGATTGGACTTCCTAATATCTCTTCCCCTCTTACTGTCTTTCGTACAAAAAAAAAAACAATCGTTCGATCAGATTATTGGACAAGAGTCACGGTTACGGGGTAGTAGTGGTAGGTGGAAAATCGTTCGTGTTGATTGGCAGCGCCTCTAGCGTATGACTCGATAAGCTTTCCCTTACTTACATGTATTGATAAGTAGGATCACGTGACGATTGCGAGCGTCATCTTTCGACATACGCGTGACGTGACATGGCTCATTTGTTTTGCTACGTCGTTAAGAATTATTTCGAGAATTTAATTAACTTGCTCCATGTGCCTTCATCTCCCTTCTCTTTAATCCCCTTTCCATTCCCTCTTTTTTCTTCTACAACGCATATTATAACATACAGATTTATATACATACAGATATATATTGATATTATCATTCGTAAAATTTTATTTTCAAGCACGAATCATGTGTTCGATAAGTGCGATTTCTTAATTATCTTTACGACCTTCCAAGTTTAAATAACTAATTTTTTTACAATAAATTTTTTTCTATCTACTACTTACTACGTAGTAGTTTCAACAATTTCTATTCATGTTTTGACCCAATAGTAAAACTTAAATCGTTTGGTTCCTCCCGCCAAATTTAATTTTAAATTTCCAGAAAAAAAAAACAATTTATATTATATCATATAATGAATGTTAATATTTTTATTTAATGATTCAAAATGCAGAATTTATCAAAATTTTAAATTTGCATATATTTAATCACATCTGTTGTGTTGATTTCACTAGTAATTTTTTGCTACTATCGTTCAGAGGCATAAATTATGAATTTGTTAATTTATTGTAAGTGACACTTTGTCTCTTATATTAGCAATAATTTAAACGAGAAAGGAACGAATTTAAATTAAGAATAATTTGAATAAAATTAAAGGATAATAAATGCCAAAATTTAAGTCCCTTTCGAATTTATCACCTGTTTTGACTCACATATTTTATTTCTAGAATATTCAAATTCAAATTGGCATTGCTCTTTGGAACTGTATTATGTACGTTTATTTATTTCTATTTTCTTTATTGTTGTTTTTCTTTATTTCATACAATCAAATGAACAATTCCCTTTTCATACATTTTAAGTTTTTGTTTTCTTCCACAAAATTTCAATAATGTTATTCTTTTATTTTACGTCAAATGAGAGACGTAAAATCGTTTGATGTATGTATCTATGCATATGTATAAGATATAAACATATATAGAAACAAAAAGGTAGAAAACAACTTGAGGACACCAATATTAAATGGTTTTGTATTATTTACTTATCGATACTTTTATCTTATTCGTAAATGTAAAATGTATATTTTATTAAAATAAGTAAAATATGTATATTTTATTTCATTAGATAGATTTAAATAGATAAGAATGTGTATGAAAAAGAATAATAAAATGAATTATAAATTACATAAACTTTTTTTCACTTATTACGACTCCCGAATCAAATAAAATTAATGGATAGATGGATGAAAGGATAAAAATTAAATGGAACTTATAATAAAGAAACTCTGAAATTATTCTCTTTTTATATAATCAATATAAAATGATAATGCTAATATTATTTTTATTGATTATCTATTAGTTTGACCTCGATCTTAAAATCATCGGTTAAGTAATCCCTCCATTTATGCAGGTAATTGGGTTTACAAAAAAAAAAAAAAATAAAACACATATAAATGGAAACGATATACATGAAACCATGAAAAAACCATTTATATTTTTAGCTTTTATTGAAGTAGATAAATTTACGAAATAAATTGCATTGCGGAATCCTCGAATTTGTTTTTACATATTGTGGTGACATTGAAGCACTGAAAGTTCAAGTGCATTAAAATGTATCTGCGTAAATGAAGGCTGCATAATTGAAGGTAGAGATTATTGTATTTACATACGATATGCAATTTACAATGTAAATATATGTAAAATTTGAAACAATTTTTTGTACGTTGTTTTAACTATGTTGAAATATGATTTTCAGTATAAAAAAAGTAGTTTACAAAAAAACTACTTTTATTATATATCGTTCTTATTTGCATATTTATATATTTCCATTTTGTACAAATATATATATATATATGTTTGTGTGAATAAATACATATTTATATTTAAAATACATATTTTTGTTTAATGGTTACCAAGGCAATCAATTATTATCGTTTCGTTAACAACTTTGAATGAGATTGTAAGTAATACACTTTCTATTTTAAAAGATTAAGAGATATCAAAAGTACATATATATATAATTATTAAATAATTTAATATTAATAGATATAAAATTTGTTTTATATCAAACGCGAAAAAGAAGAAATTAATTTAGATTAAATGATGATGTGCCGAATATTATCATCTTCGGTGTTTTATCTCCGATTGCATCAATCTTCCATGTATGGTAAAATGTGTCGTGGTATTACTAAATTTCCGATATTATTAAATGTGGAAAATCAAAGATGCATAGATATAAATAGCAATGAAGTAATACGTAAGTTTCTTGTATTTTCATTACCATTATTTTTCGCAAGGCAATAATTATAATTGCTATTACTTTATTTTATTATTATTATCATCTTTATTATACTCTAAAGAATATTTAATGACACTTTAGCTACACGTATGGCTCAATCACACGCAGCATCGGTTATTAGGGAAACATTGAATCGTGATGATACCTCTCTACCTTTGATGGATTCAACAAATACTGAAATGATCTCGGAAACTTTTGAAATACCCAGCAAATTTTTAAGACCATCAAGCATCGAAGATAGGACACCGTTATCCTTCGATCAAATACCTGGTCCCATGATAATGAAGCTATGGGAGAAATATTGGAAATACGTGCCGCTGTTTGGTACGCAACTGTTTTCCAGTCTGCTAATCAACAGATTCAGCCAGGGTATGATTTGATAGTTTGAGGGCTGAAGGTTGAAAGGCTCAATTTTATTTTCACGATACGCATTGTCTAATATTAATCCTAATTTAGTATAAGTTTATTTTGTATTTTTTTGTTTTATGGTATTATCGTGAATATAATTTTTTAGGACGATTAACTTGGAATCGTAACTTTACGCCGATTACATATTTTTTTAATACATATGGTTGTATCGTAAGACTCAATGGTCCATTGTCCGGTGATATCGTCATGATTCATAGGTAAACGATTAGATTTACATAAATTAATTATTATTTAACATAACATTCAAATTTGAGGATTCTTACACAGGCCGGAACATATAGAAGAAGTTTTTAAACAAGAAGGTGATGTACCTGTTCGCAGTGGTATCGATATTCTTGAACATTATCGTCTTCATTATCGGAAATATCGTCTTGCTGGTGCTTTTTCAATGTTAGTATTATATTATACAAATATTTGTACATTATAAAATATTTATATACATAATATTAACAAAAGCGGAAAATTAATAGCTATTTATCATAGGCAAAGTTCAGAGTGGTTGGAATTGAAAGAAAAAGTAAATAAACCGTTCAACAAGATAGACTCTAAATTTTTTCAAAAACTTGAAACAGTTACTGAAGATTTTATAAATCGAATTCGACAAATACGTAATAGACAGGATGAAGTACGTAATGATGATGATTTTCTAATAAATTTTATATGAAATTTCTAATACGAATATTTGTTTGATTAGGTTCCTCATAATTTTAATGAAGATATAACACGTTGGGGTTCAGAATGTTTCTTCACTCTTGTATTCGACAAGAAGCTTGGTTTTATTGATTCATCAGGGCAAAATCCTACTTCTGAGCCAGCAATATTCATTGACGCAATTACGACCGCTCACAAATATTTAAGTCGTTGTGAAACTGGTTTTCAAATATGGAGATTTTTTGATACTCCTTTTTCTAAAAGACTTTTTTCAGCGTGCGACGTTATCGATGGGTGAGTCAACAATTAAATTCTTTTAAATCAAATTATTTGCAATCATTAATTATAATTAGAATCTATTATAGTTTATTGAATAAATATATTCGACAAACACAAAATACATTTCGTGGACGATCCCCTGAGGATACATCACCAATTTTAGAAAAATTATTATCATCTCAACGTCTTCATCCAGACGATATTTCTACTTTATTAATGGACATCGCAATTTTAGGAGTCCAAGCGGTAAAAATGAACAATCAAAAATCGTGATTAATGATATTGATAAATAATATTGTTGAATTTTGAAATATTGTAGATGACTAATTGCCAAGCGTTTCTTTTATATTTCTTGGCGAAAAGTCCCCGAGTTCAGAAAAAATTATATGAAGAATTAGTCTCACTAATTCCTAATCCAGAATCTCCAATAACCGAAAATCATTTGAAAGATATGCCGTATTTGAAAGCTTGTTTAAAAGAAAGTCTGAGGTATGTGGTATATATTATATATATGTATATGAAACTGTCGGATTATTTACATCATTTTACGACGAGGTATACATTTTTATTTAAGATTGCGACCTGCTTTTCAATACATTACCAGATTATTACCAAATACGATATGTCTTCATGGATACACAGTGCCAAAAGGGGTAAACAAATATATTCTTTTTTATCTTAATGACATTTTTGACTAAAATATTTTATAGACTTTTGTAATAATGGCAAGTCAAATAATGTCACAACGAGAAGAAAATTTTGAAGATCCGGACAAATTTCGGCCGGAAAGATGGTTGAATAATGAAACGGATAATGATTTTCAAGAATATAATTATTTACCTTTTGGACATGGTGCACGTTCTTGTTTAGGAAGACACATGGCAGAAATACAAATGTCCTTGCTTACGGCTAAGGTACATTTTTAAATTTATATTAAATTTATTCTTTTTATTTTTTTATTACACGAAATAAATTTTTTTAGTTAATCCGTGAGTTTAAGATAGAATATAATTATGCTGATATTGGAAGCTATTTTTATATGATGAATATACCTGACAAACCTCTTCGCTTTCGATTCATCGATAGAAATTAGAATATTATGACTATTACTATTATTATTATACATATTTAAATATTACGAAATGATTTGGTCAGAAGAAGTTGTCCTTACGAGTTTAGGAATGTGAATGATACAGGAACTAACAGTAAGTAGCTATTATATTCAATTACATCGAGTGTGTTGTATTTATATAAAACCTACGACTTTCTATTAATTATAAGTGTGTTCAGTAATTATTATTATTATTATTTATTATATTTTAATAAAACCATGTTATATGTATATATATAAATTTGTATTTTTTAAAATTGAAATTTATTTGACAAATCAATAGTCTTTTTTTATAGATATTCCAGAATATTTACAATGAATAATTGGAAAAATTATTCAATTGTTCTATAATAATAGTGCAATCTAACAAAGTCATAACGTACTGAAAAATTATACGACTATATTATTTATTATTCATCGATATAACTAAATGAAGATTACAGTTTAAAATATTTTTTATATTACTGACCTTGTAAGCAAATCGATGACCAAAATTAAACAGACCCATTCCAGAAAGTTTTAGTAATTTTTGTCCAATTTGTAAAATAAATTGCAAAATCTATAAAATGTAAAAATTTAATTTACACAGTTGTAATATAATTTGATTTGATAAGGTATCTCACCTCTTCTTGTCTTTCTGAATTGTAAGTGAAATCTCTTAAAATATGAAGCACGTGTTCCGTACGTTTTGCCTGAATCAATTAATATAAAATAATTATCGAAAGTTTATAGTCATTTATACATTATGAAAATTATTTCAATTATTTTGAATACCTCTTTGCAACATTTTTCGATGGTATTATTTAGAAATATCACTTTACTCGTTAATATAACGAATAAAAAAAATGCTGGCATGAAAATGAATATATACGTCAATGTAAATGATAAATGTATATCTACTAATAATAAATATCCAAGTATAAGTATAAATTGAGATATCATTCCAATGGTTAGTTGAACTTGAAACATTTTGTGGAATTCGTAACATGTTTTTGATAACTCTAGGTGTACGTGCCTTGAAAAATTTGATAATAAATAAACTTAGGATATATTATTTTATATTTACAAATGAATATAATAATTATTGTATATATTTACATTATTGTTATTAGACTATGTTTATGATGGAAAGTATCAATGAGATATCGGTAATTCGATCTTTTCAAAGTCGTCATGCTAGTTCGCGTTACTTTTAATTCATAATTATTATTCGTAGATAAATATAAAATATATTTATTGATTTCTTCAAAAATCGTCCCGGTATACCTAAATATAAAAAATTATTATATTTATAAATAAATCACGCTGTTTTTTTCTTTTCAACAATTTTTTTTATGATCATTATTAATTAAAATTGGATTTCATACACAAATTTCGTACCAAATGAAACTTTCATATTTCAAATCTGCCAGATTATTAACACACAAAGGATGATTTATTATAAATATCTTGATATATACTATAACTTCATTTAAGCTTTCTTTATACCATGCTAATTGGATTAAATTTGTAAGGATAGAAATGACTATCCATATGATAATATTACGTTTTATTCTTTTACGTAAATTTTCGTAATTATTTGGAATGTTAAGTTTTTCCAATGTATCGTTTATCATAACAATTTTTTCGAAGCACCTTTTCCACGTCTGTTACGCAAAAAAAAAAATTTATTAATTACATACGATTAATTAATCGTAATTTTTTTTTTGTTAATTTATACTAATTACAGTAAAATATTTAAATTGTATAATGCAACTTAAGGAATAACATACTTTTTTATAATATAGCAAACAGATCATCATCGTAATTGTTGTAAATAATTGAGAATTGATTACTACAAAGCCTGCAAGTTCTTTACCAATAATCCGATGATATAAAAAATAAGTAGAAATACTGAAGATAACGATCCAAGTAATAATTGTATACGAATAAGTAAAAAATACGTTTAGTTGTCCTAAATTTTGATGTTCAAAATTTCCAAGTCCAAACAATTTGCAAATTAATTCTAATGGAAAGAGAGCGTTAGCTAAATTTTCTGACATAGTTGTCCTTATATGATGCTACACTTACTGTGCTCTATTGAAATATTACGCACCTTATATCCCAAACGTAATACATAGAATATTCTACACGTATACTCTTTCTAACAAATCGATCTATTAAGAAGTATTAATGTTTAATGAGATCATCCATTAACAAATTTCTTTACGTTTCACTATTTTTATTACATTTAGATGCTCGCTATTATAAAGATTCAATTGAAATTAATTCAAATGAAATAGTAATTTAATACTGAAAATAACAATCTTTCATATTTACATATATATATATATATATATATATATATATATATATATATATATATATGTAATGTAAATGATTATTTAACTTTACTAGAATATAGTAGTTAATTTCATAAATAGGAAGTTTTTCAAGTAAATTATACTATAATACTAGTTTTTTTTTTTGTAAATAATTACAAAGTAAGATTTTTCTTCAATTATATCATACTATATACAAATACACAATTTCTTTTTTTTTATATAGTAGCTTATTAAATAATAGATTATGTAGTATAAAATGTATTATAATTCAATGAAGAGTGTATTGTATATGTCATGAGCAATAAATTTACAAATCCTTTATCTCTTCCCTTTTTTTTTTTTTTTTTTTAAATATATTACATTAAATTCATAGTTAATTAAATTGAATTAGAAAAACTTAAAGTATCGAGATTGTTTTGCGGTAGCATATTAAGTTGACTCAATAAATTCTCTCTTTCTCGCAAACACATCCAAGCTTTGTCTTGTTCTTTTTTTGTCAATGGTACTTTTCTTTGTTTAGAAAGGATTAACTTTTTATAATTTTCTATAACTTCATTATCCGCTGTAGTAATTTTTCTTTTAAGCGCTTGTCTTTTACTTTCCTCCTGTGCAAGAGTTAACAGTCTTCTCAATTGAGTAACATTATGATTAGATAAAGCAGATAGTTCTTGTTGACATCTTTTGATTTCTGTAAGTATCTCATCGTCATCTTGATTTTTTTTCTGTCCATCCGAGTCTAGTATACCTTGTTCTATTAATTCCTTGTGCATTCTAATTTCCAAATTCATCGAATTTTGTATCGTTAAATCTCGAAGAACCGGAGGATCATTATTTCGAAATAATTTGTTATCCATATTATTATTTGCAACATATACATTTTCTTCTAGTAAAGCAGAAACTAGCCTCTGAGTTAAAGGTCCAGCAATGCCATTCATTTTCTTATCCCCTTTAGGTACTAAAAGAGACACATCCTGACGATTCTTCTTCTTTTCTCTGTTTGGATTGGCTGCATCTTCTTCTTGCAACAAATCATTATGCGCCCAGATTACGCTATAATGACGACCTAATGGTGGTATCTTTTTATATTCGCTTAGATCACTATGCATTGTAATTAACTCTTCCAATAATTTAATATCATCTGGCATAATGTCTGTACAATAAGGATCTACAGAAGCCCAAAATTTATTAGGTGTATCGTTCTTTGGTAATAATAATTTGGGTACATCAGATTTAGATCCTTCTATTTTTCCTATGTCATGTAGATTTGGAATTGCTTGGTTCCCTAAATTCCCTGATGTTCTTTGTTTCAAAAGTTTAGTAGATACAGATGTTTGCGTTTTGGTGCTTATTTCTTTAGGCTTAAATTTTTCTTCTCTAACTTTTCTATCAAGAAGTGACAAACCTTTTCCACTCTTTGATCTCTTGTCTCTACGTTCCTCTGCTGAAGATAAACTTGTTATTTCATCCTGCAGCATTCGATGTCTTACTACTACAGATGAAAGTAGGGTTTCCAGTTCCAATTGCAATGCATCCAAATCTTCCATACCTACACTATCTTCTGTTGTACGTTGTAAGATACTAGCATATCTTGGAAGTAGTCGACTGTTATCAGCTATTTTTAAAATAGGTATTGACATTATAGATTCTGTTCCACTAGGACTCATATCGGCATTAGGTACTGATGTCTCTGCAGTTTTGACACATTCACGTACTTTGCCAACAGCTTTTTTAGAACTTTGTTTACCTTTTCCTGACATACTTTTTAATGTAATATAATCTAGGTTTCAGTGACAATGATTATATCTTTATATCGCAGTGACTAATATTTCCTATTCGTCACTACACAAAATATTCTCTTCTGTAGGAAATTATTCCTATCTTTTTACATTTAAATTAGATTTACATAAATAACAGCATTCTTCTTTTTGTTTATGTACAATTATCAACAAAAAAACTTAATAACTAGAATATAGAAACTCGACAACTAAAATTATCAGCATGCACAAAGTACAGGTTAGTATCGTAGAAGTATAGTATAGTGTCGTGACACACTCTAGGCAACTTTAATAACTTAAAATGATAGGGTTATATAGGGATTTTTGTTATTGTATATTTAGATATTTTTCGATGGTAATGCAAAAGCGGAAAAGAATACTATTATTTTCAAATAATTGATATGAAAATAAAATGATTATATATATTATATTTCAGATTTATTATATTATCGATATCGATGATTTCGATTTTATCGACGATTGCGACATTATCGACGGACATTACGAAAAGTTTGAAAGTGTGGCGCGAAGTGGCGTATCATTCGAAGTTATCTTTTGTTAGTTAAAAGGATCATCGCAAGAGAATGCGAATTCATGGTTTAGCTTACTGCGACTTTTAAGATACTTAAAAATCGTCATCCAAGTTGACAAAGCTGGTGGCTCTTTGTGGAAAGCGAAGAAAGTGACGGAAACATTGTAATGATTGAAAGCAAGCTTGTGAAACAATCAAGTGTTCGTAGAAATGAATTGCAATGGAGAATCGTCTCTGGATGGTAAACGTAGGGTCATTTCTTACATGGATAGCAAACCTATCATCACCTGTAAGTTCATTTCTATAAATGTTTACACTTAACCTCTTTACAATGACGATCATCAATGATTATAGTTATCAACGCCCCCTTCCTTATATGCACTCGATTTCTTCATACTTTAATACTTTTCTCAACGAATTTCATTATTTATCATACTCCAATAATTATTTTTATTAAGAATTATTTTAATTCTTTTTACTCGTCTGAAATAAAAAAAAAACATATGCTTATTAATTTGGAGATCATGAATTTTTCAATGATTGCCTTTGACAAGGGATGTCAAAATTAAATTATCTTTACTATTCAATGTTTCTAATTATAATTTTTATTTTGTGCAATACTTGTGCATGAATTATTATTAAATATTTATATTTTTCTTAGATGCCGGAGATGAAGAATTATTTTCTACTTTGGAGAATGGTTTGCTTCAAGCTATTCCTGAGAGCACAGTTGAGTGGCGTAGATCATTTGGTAGGCCGATTAAACAAGTTAAACTTGGAGCATCTTTTGTATCATTTTCCAAAGATATCTTGCCTAATGAAAAAGACTGGCATCTCGTGAATCAGCCAGTATTACACATTTATTGGAGCGAATGTACTGTAAGTGAAATTAAAGTATTTATTATTACTTTTTACTTTGTAACACTTGTTTATCTAATAAATACATGAAAAACATAATTTTTAGGATATTGACGCTTATAAAACGAGTGTAAGAGATGACATAGATATTTGGTTGAAGATATTATCTTCTTATCATATTCAAGACTGGATGATTGTAATAGTAGAAACATATGATCCCAAAAAAAGTACCAAATTATTACCTAGAACTACTGTTTTAGATAAGATTAGAAGTGACTTTGCTTCTAAAACTGGTGATAGGTAATTTAAATCATATTATAAATGAATCTTAAATAAAGTATATATGTAACATGATAATGATGCTTATTTTGTACTATTTTATGTAGGTGTTTTGCTGTAATAAATCCTATTAAATATAAATCTCGTTCAACGGAAACTTGGAGAGGATTAATTGGACGTATTCGTCATTTGATGTTAACCGCATACGATAAAACTCTTTCTCGATTTGAAGATGTTATTAGAGAACAAAGGGAAAGCCGGAATCTTCCTGGCTGGAATTTTTGCCATTACTTCCTTTTACAGGTAACATTTAATGCTCTAATTATTTTCTATTGAAAATAAACACATGATCGTTATTATTTCAGGAAGAACTTGCATTTGTATTACAAATGTTGGGCTTATATGACGAAGCATTGGTACAATACGATGAATTGGATGCTCTCTTTACACAATTTGTATTAAATTCTAACGTAGGAGGTACAGTTGAAATGTCCCTCTAAGTTATAGAATGTAATTTAATTTATCTTCATATATTTAAAAGCTTCATTTATTGTTTTTTCTATTTTACTAACTTTTTTATTGCCTACTCGCTAATCATTCAAATTATTATTTTGATTTCTTACAGATACACCAGCTTGGTTGAATTTATTCCAAACGCCTCTTAATAATTGGGCTGGTGTAAATTTAAGCAATGGTGTTAATCATCATTTAAGATTTCTATTAGCTGAATGTAAATCATCGTTGCTGGACTTTAGAAGTTATTTATTTAGCAGACAATGTGCTATGCTTTTGTTCCTTAAAAAACCATGGGAGGTTTGTTGCAATCAAATTTTTTATTAACATTAGTTTTTTCTTTTAAATCTGATTAAATATTTAACTAATTTTTCTTGCAGGTTGCACAGCGATGTTTATCCTTTATTCACAATACACTGAGTGAATTACAAATTTTAGAAGTTCAACGACCAGAAGGATCCGTCGAGTGTTGGGCTTTTTTGTGCGCGTTAGAAGTATTGCAAGCATGTCAAGAATCAGCTTTTGGTTTAGATAACAATCAACAGTCGGATCTTTGTTCTTTACATACTGCAAGTCTATGGGCCTTAGCTCGTGATAAGGTAAATTTAACTAACTTTAAATATTTTATTTCATTTTTGTAATCCTTATATCGTATAATTATATTTTTTGTTCAGTTAGGAGCATTAGGAAAACTATGTGGTCTCATGCCAGGTAGCGAACCAACTAGCGAACAACTCCACACAGTTGTATATCTTATAGCAGGTATGGGAGATTCTGAACCACAAGAAGAAAGAAAAGTAACTCCAATCGATAAACTGAAGGAAGCATTGTCATCTAAAGAAGTTTTTAAAAAACAATACTTGGAACATGCTGAATTAGCTATGGGTACTTATAAACACGTTGGTCGAATAAGATCAGCTAGATCGATAGGCAAAGAATTAGCTAGATTCTATGGTGAATTAGGAGAAAATCAGAAAGCTGTAGCATTTTTATCTGATGCTTTGAAAACTTATACGGATGAAGGATGGCATCATTTAGCAGCACAAACACAATTAGAATTAGCACAATGTTATAAAAGAATGGACGATGTAGATAAATATATAGAAGTTTGTGCTGCGATATCTTGTACCAATATATTACATATTACTGTACGTAATTCATATTTTGAAGAAATGTTAGGATATATGAAGATGTTAACTTCTCCACAGCCATTACTCACTGAACTTGGACACTCTTTTATAATACTCAGTATGGAAGTTAACGTAATGGACAAAGTGGTGCAAGATTGTGTAGTTAATATTGTAATTAGTGTACAAAGTTTGTTTCCTAGAGAAATCAAATGTACAGGTGCATATATCTCTGTTGAAGAAGTTCAAAGACCTTTGGCTCCTAATAAAAAAAAAGGCTCCAAAGCAGTAGTAGTGGAGCAGCCACCAATACAATTGTAAGTATTTACAATATTTATTAATGATTACATATTTTATAATTTATATATTTTTTTAATGTTATAATTAGGTTGTCAAGTTGTACTATAGAAGACATGAAGCCATTAGATCCAAGCTTAGCTTTATTACAAGTATATTCTTACTTGAATTGTAAAGAAGACAAAAGTATAGGTTCCGCTAGTGTTATGCACAATAATCTAAAACCTGTGGTACGACGTTCAGATAGTGCTAAACATAGAAAAGCTCCTATTAATACGAAAGGTGATTTTAGCAAATCGTTATCGTGCTCTGAATTTATTATGAAACCAGGTGTAAATATATTTACATTGACCAGGCGAGTTGATTGTCCTGGATTATACGAAGTTGGTCAATTGTCACTTATTATAGAAGAAAAATTAGAATTTCTATCCCCAATTTTAAATCCAAAATTATGCTACGAGGTGGCAAAAACTCAACCATTAATTTCTCTAAAATGTGGAAGAGATTTATTAGCTGGTATTATTCAAGATATAGAATTAGTTATATCAACTGGAAGTATGAGGATAACGAAAGAAATGAAATTAAAATTACGTGCATCTAGAGGATTAATGATACAATTAAATGAAGTAGAAGCAGTAATGGTTAAAGAATTAGAAACGCCACTGCCATCATGTGAACCATTTCAAACAATAAAATTGGGATTAAAAGTTTTAGCTGAGTTACCACCTAAAAAAGATCCTTCTTCTATGGAGCATAAAGTAATTTTTATTTTCTCCTATCAATTATTAGAATCAATGGATTTAAACTTTCCTAATATGAAATATGCAAGTGGTATTATTTTTTCAGCTTAGCGTGCAATGTCCATGGGGTACGGAAGAAAGTATCCTTTTACATTTTGGTCCACCATTAATGACAAATATGAAATTGCACACTGCTAAGCAGAGAAAATTTGTTCAAATCATTGTAACAGGGTTGACAAGTCGACTTTTGCAATTATCTGATCCACATTTGGCATCGAATACGTCAATGGATTTAAATTTTAAAAGTTTGAATCCAACTGCTGGTCAACGATTAATGGTAGGTAGCGGAATGAATGTATCATTCATGTGGGAAGTTGAAGTTGGCAAAGATGAAAAAGCTATGGTACCCATTAAGACTGATTTTCGTGTAAAATACGTACCAATTAATGATACTGAAGAAACGACTAATTTAAATGATGATCCTTTACATATAAATAATTTGAAAAAGCTAGAAAAAGCTTCTAGTGTATATAGATGTAATTTTGATGTCACGGATTACGTGGTAAGTATTAAAATAATAATAATACATTATAACTTTGCTTATTAAATTTTTCAAAAAAAATACAAATATAATATTTTTCAGACATTATTCACAGTTTCTTCGAAAGTTGAAGCAGGTGGAGGTGGAGGAGAATTTTGTCGTGCTGGTAGTATGTGTCATCTTTATCTAACAGTAACGCGTATGTTGTATACTCCTAATCCTAATCCTCCACCTCAACTGATGTATGAGGTATTAGCAGATCAAACAATGTGGGCTGTTTGTGGTCGAACAGCAGGAATCATTTCATTAGAAGTAGTAGAAAAACAAAGTGTTACGTTAGATGTTATGCCTCTAACCAGTGGTTATTTACCTTTACCTGTTGTTAGATTGTCTCGATATATCCCTGCGGTAGAAAGCAAATCAGGCAAGTACACTAACAAAATGTATTAATATTCTAAATAGAAAAATATCCTAATATTGTCCTTATGTGTGAACAAAAGACTCACATAATATTGTTTTTATCATATCTACAATACTAATTGAATTTTATATTTTCTTTTAAGATGTCACCCGTAAAGGTGATATAACTTCTGGTCCAAGACTGGAGCCATTCAGTCCAGGACAAGTATACAATGCTAGTAAAGCTCAACAAGTACATGTTTTACCTGCAGTACCTTCAGAATCTAATTAAGTTTCTAATTTTAAAGCCATACTACAAAACTTGGTTTTTAAAGAATAAATTCTCACTAGGGTGATCAGCACAGTAATTTGAAAGTTCATTTGAAAGACTATGTACTAGTCTTTATTATCTTACAATTAATATGCAAATTTGTTCTTGATATAAAAAATCAATACTTTCACTTGACTGAAACTTGATTAAAGCTAAATTAATAATAGCCACACACACACACACACTTTCTCTATCTATATATATATATATAAATATATAGATTAATGAACGATCTTTATTCAATATTTCGTTTTGCTTCACCTGTAATGTTTTATTTAAAAACAATATATGAATTAAACGATAGATAACATTATAAATTTTTATAATGAAATGGAATTTAATATCAGATTGTTAGACTTACGAATAATACTAATTTTCTTGTTCTTTATAATCAATTTAAAATGACTATTATATATTATTTTATCCAAACTAAATTTATTTCTGTCTTGTTTTTGAAAATATTTTGTTGAGCGCTATGTATTATAATATGATGCCATAATTATGACATAGCATAAGAATGTAAAGAATTTATATAATGCATCGAGAAGAGAACAATCGATATGAAATTTGTTTTTATTGAAAAATAGTGAAACGTTGTTGTAAAATAAAAATCTAAAAGACAGTTGATAATTTGATCTGATGTTAATAATTATTAATAATAAAAAATAGAAGTTTAATTTATACGTATTTTAAATTGTGTAGTATTTTCATACTTAAAAATTTTTATTCTACCATTATTATAGAAGAAATGAATTTAGTATCGATTGTTCACTTTGATGTTAATATAGGAAAATAATTAGAATATAATTTTGAATGAAATATCTATCATTTGGATATATATATGGTACCTGTGCTCTAAAATATAAAACTATTTTATAGTTTTTTATTAAATAATGTATATTACCTGTGCATTAAAATCATGATAGCTAATTATTCTTAATCCAATAAGTGCATCTTCGCAATTTGCTCTAAATATTGATCTATCAACAAGAAAGAAAGAAAGAAAGAAAGAAAAAAATAAAAAACAACTCATTAAATCTATACGTACACGTGACATCGAATATTTTCAATGATCGATAAAAACAGCGTGTATAGATATACATATATATGTGTGTGTGTGACCAAAAAATGATAGGAGGAAAAATGAACATTGAAGAAGATAGAAAACAAAGTATCTGTATATTATTACTTTCGTGCCAATATAGGAATCCTTCACTTTAATTAAATTAATTTACTTATAGATTTTGTATCAGATTGTTTAATTATATTTTCTTTTTTTTTTCTTTTCTTTTCTGTTTGTTTTTATTTTGCAAACTTTTAAAACTTTGTGATATTTGTAAAGATCTTTTTTATATATTAGCGATTGAATTCTCTTAGAATGATATGATGGAATATTGAAATATAATGAATTATATTATATTAACTGTATATCTATAAACAAGTAATTATATCTTACTTTGTACCGAGAATTATATATTATGTGAAAGATAAAGAAAAATGAAAAAAAAAAAAAAGTAATAGAGCTTTAGTGCCTATTAGACAATTTTATAAAAAGTGATGTTTTACTGATAACATTAAAATACACTAATTTTCCTAAATCATCTAGTTATTGGCCAGTGATAAAAATAAATAGTATAATTACATCAACATATATATATATATATATATATATATATATATATATATATATAAATAGAACGTTCTAATTTTGACATAAAAAACTGTTTACTCAATCAGATATGGCCTTAATATATTAAATTTACATTCATTTCTAGAATATCCTGCATTTTTTCGACTGATATTAATTTTACATAGCAATTTAAAATCAGATTGTTTATTGAGAATTAACAATGTTGTAATAACTGTATTAAGAAAGCATGAATTATATGTACATTTCTGCAAATGAAACTCAAACTATATATAGAAATATAAATATTATAATAGAAATAGATAAAATTATGAATATAAACTAAGATATAAATTTTGTATTAATTTCAATTAAACGAGCAGTTTTTCTAATGACAGAATAAGACTATATTTAAGAATTTAGATATTTAATCAGAATTCAGTATGTTGGTATCTTTCACTGCACTCATAGTAGTTACTATAAATATGTGAACAAGAAAAAAATAGAACGAATTTACATTAACAAGTTTCGGTATATTAATATCATAAAAAATTATGTTCTCTATTAAAATACATATATTTATGTTGCCATGTTATTCTGCATATATATCTATATAGATTAGTTTTCATTGAATACCTTTTTTTTTTATTCAAAATGTAAATAAGATAAATGTTACAATATTCTGTATACGTGATAATTATATATTTTATACGTTGTCAGAGCTATAAAAATTATTTAGTATTTATATTAATATAAAATATATATATATATATATATATATATATATATATATATATATATATTCATATATATATATTATATACCTTTGTAAAATGTGGGAAGATATTTTTATTTGGTATTATAAATCATAATAATTAAATCATCTTTTTTTATTACTTTAGTATATACATATAATCTATAATAATCGTTTATTATTTAAGAATGTTTAATAATTTTTTCTTTTTTTTTGTGTATTAAAGTAAAAAAAAAAAAATAAACATACGCAAACAAATTAGTAATGTTTCAAAATATTGAAAAGAGTACTGTTATCATATCCAAAAGAAATACTGCAATTATATTATTTTAATATTATATCATAAAGAATTGTTAAATTAACGTCACTTTTGAAAAAAAGAACAAAGAAAGAAATAATACATGTATATGTGGTATATAGATGCATTAAATGTAAATTAACAAAATACAAAAGCAGTGTTTCTTTTATAAATTATATATATACACAAGATAGTATGTAAAATTATTTTGTTTTTTGATTATTGAATAATCCTTAAGTTCACGATATAAACAAAATAAGGTATGAAAATTATTGTTATGCAACTTTTTTATATTCTTATTATAATTATAATTTCTACGATTTTTTTAATTATTAGTATATACTTTTCTGATATATATGTGTGCATATAATTATGTATATAGCCAAAATACCAAATAAAATCTATAAAGCACATTTTGTATTATTTTTCGAGTTATTGCATAGACTTATATTATAATTATAACAAATATGGTTAAATACTAAAAATGAATGTTTCCTATGTATTCTAATGATTTAATTATATTTATTGTTTTGATAATACCTATGTTTAGCACGTTCCATGCCATGGGTATTACAGGTAGTACATTTAGACATATTTATTGAATGAACTGAAAATAAAAATAATAAAGAAAGATTATTTTTTGTATTTATAGTACCAGAAGCTATATATCTAATGTAAATAAAAAATATTTGTATGAAAAAATGATGTATATTACATTGCAAACACAGTCACCAAACAGTACGATACTTTAATTCTTTATGATATAAATTAAAAACAAATTTCATATACCTAATACATTGATGGATGGGATTTCTTCTTATTTTTACAATAATACATCTTTATCTTGTTTAATTTGAAATGTTAGTAAATTGGCAGTGGAGCTTGAGTCAAAAGTAGACCAAATCTTCTTTTTAAGGTTATTCGCTCCTTTGAGTATTTGTCCTCAGGAGAAAATCTTGCTGGAATTTTTAAATATTATGTAAATAATAATTATTATATAAATCTATAAAAAAAATATTGTTTTAAACATTACCAGGATGTGCAGACATGGTTGGTTTTCCATTAGGATCAATTTTCTGTAGATGTAGAAAGAATGATTTAATTATTATTACATTACAAATCAATTAATATAAAAAATTATTATAAAATATTTGTTTCTACCTTTAAGGTGTATACACGCTCTCCTTTTTCATTAAAATAGTACATTAAATACATTTTGTTCAGATTAATGAACTTTTCTTACAGATATAAAATCTAACCTCTACGTGCACATTGCAATGTTGATCACATGAGTATGGAGACACATGAGGAGAAACTTGCGCATGCGCATGTATTTGCGCATGACTGTTCGCATAAGGAGAAATTCACGCATGCGTACACATTTGCATTGCATTTCGTTAAATTCGACGGAAACAAAACAGAATAAATTATAAAATAATAAATTTTTAATATTTTATGAATGATACACTAATATTAAACATTATTAAAAATAAGTACACATAAGAAAATAATAATATTAAATATTTTCTGTATACTTAATCGATATTTTCTTTTATAATAATTCGATATTGCCAAAAATACTTGCAATTAATTAAACAAGAAAAACATTTGGTTTTTTAACATAAAATTTAAGAATGCATTTTCGATATGTATTTAACATAATGTTATTTATATCTAAAATATTTAAATATCATTCTACGATAAGATATTATAAAATATTTATGATGTTGTGACGCAATAAAATGACGTGTCTGTATATTCTTTACCATATAGATATAAACCATTGTAGGTTTAAATGGGGGCCTATGCTTACCTGTATATGGTTAGCTTTTGCTCTCTCACATTTCTGCATCCCTGGTTACTCGTGATACATGGGGCCTTAGAATTTACACAATAGGATCTTACGAAATGTCTTAGTATTTATTCATTTTATATAATACAAATTTAGAGATTTCATTTTTCAATATAAAATTAACTAAATTATCATAATGATAATAAATATATACCTTTACCTATGTTCAGTCGTATCAATTGAAATCATATTTATAAATCGATTGTTATATTATTTAAATATACATTATTATTTTTATAAATAATATTTTATTATTTTATCAAATTTTATACTATGTTAATAATTGTATTTCAATAGATTTACAAATTCCCGCGCTGATTTCACCAATCACGTGTCGGGAAAGGGCCCAATGCTATTGGTTCAAAAATAAGAAGATAAATGTTCTCGACCAATCATATTTTAGTAACACGCGAATAAAGTAAAGTAATTATTGCGTACGTGGAGAAGCGAGATGGATATTAAGAAGTAGAGTGGGGGAAAAAGTTGGGCCTTACTCATAGGTTGCAGTTGCCAGTACGCTCCCGCGGCGTGTATGTCAGTAATAGTGTCAACGATATCTTTATAACGTTATTCGATTGTATTATTATTCTTTTTCTTATTCCGTATAGTATAACAAGGACGTATACAGATTTATTTTTCAAAAATTTTCAAAATAATCTATTTAAATTTTCGGAGTTTCCATTTATTTTATTTATCGAAGATAGATCGTAGTTCTGTTTATCGAAAATAAGAATCGAGATGCGTGGAAGCGTCGCGTTTGACGAATTTTGGTCACGACGTTGGCCCTGAGAGAAAGCAAAGCAAAGTAAAGTAAAGTAAAGGGTAAGAGGAAGGGAAGAGAAGAGAAAAGGAGAAAGGGAAGAAGTAGAAGAAGAAAAAGAGGAAGAAAGGTAGGAAGGTGAAGGGGGAGTAGTAGTGTAGTAGCGTTCCGGAGAAGAAAGGATGACGATAGTGACAAAGCAAGAAAGAAGAAGATAGAAAGAGAGAAAAGAAAGTTGCGTTCTTCTGTGTGTGTTTGTGTGCGCACGTGTGCGGTGTGTCGCGCGTGTATAGTGCACGCGTGCGCAAGTTCTGTGAAATACAAGAGTGCGGATCGGATGCAGTGGTACCGCACGCGTATAATACGTAAACGGACGTGTGCATCGTCGACTGTGTCCCCGCGTGTACTTGACAGTGCGGAATCAACAAGTGTCGCTGTTTAAATATCAAATCCCCGCCAACTTCTACCATTCGATTTCTTTTCGTTGTTAAGGATAAGAAGATTTACGGAAAACCACCAAGTGTTTCATCTCTTTACAATTGCTGTATTTACTGTTTAATTAACAAGGGTATAGAAAAAGTAATTGATTTTCATCACGGAAACGTTGTGATCGACGCTGACACCGGATAGATCCGTTACACGTCGTCGATCCTACCGAGTGGCCGTGGATGGCCACTTTCGTCGGCATCTCAAGATGGAAGTCGTCTATATAGGTAAGTATTACGACGTTGCTCTTGTCACACATACTATCTAATTTATTATTTCATTTTTATTGTTGCTATCAAGTGAAAATTGTTTATCATTATTGTGGTTTGATGTGGTTTTAAACGATGATTTTGTATCTATTTTGTTTGGAAAGGCGGAATGCGAAATTGTGTATTTATTCTTTTCTTTTTATTTAAAATCGTATAAAAAAGCATCTTTTTTTAATAATGTTATTGTATTTATTTGTTATCACTTTCATTTAATTTATTACTTCACTTCTTTCGTATGAAAATTATATGTTATATAATTGTAATTATGCAATTTTATACATGCATCTTTATTTAAGATATTCTTGTATTTATTTGAGATTATTTTCATATCATTTGAAAATGCGGTATACGGAATATGTGTCACATATGATTTTCTTTTTTTATTTCATTTGTTTTTAATTTATTTATTTCAAATAAATAGGTTACATTTGTCTTGCAATGTTTACTAATGTATGATATTATCACCAACTCGTGTTCATTCTCATATTCTATTTTGATAACGGTATAATCTAATTGTAAGTTGGTTCGCGCTTTTTTTCATATTTACCGCCATTTTTTCTTTTCTTTTTTTTTTTTTTAAATCAAACGCGCCAATTGTCATTAATTTTTTAAAAGAATATTCTTTTTAAAATGGCAGTACTGGTGTTTGTTAGTTTACGAGTTTGTAGTTCTTTTTGTTCAAAATTAAAGGATGTTTCAATTTAAACGACAGTATATATTTTATCTTATCAGTAAACCTTTTGTTCGCGTGACACGTGAAATGCATATGTCAAGGAGAACGGTCAATGTACGAGCCTTACACTGATGATAATTCATATTATAACTAATCTACTTATAAAAAAGTAACAATTATTATCAGACTCTTTTATGATTATTTTTATAATTAAATTCATATTATTGTATTTTAGATAATTATACGAATATTATTTATGATTTAATTGTTATCATTACGATCGTTTAATTTTTTTATAACCTTTTTGATGATGAATGTTGTAGGTTCGAAGACAGGAAAAAGGTTAATTTCAAATTTGTCCATTGCAATATTTTAATTTCTTTGATAAATTTTTTATAATAATGATAGACAAATTTAATAATATTTCAAGTTCGAAAGGTAATATTTAATTATCGAAATATTACATAACGGAAGCTAAGAAATGATATTATTTATCTTTGAATATCTCATGGCTGGTATGCTTTACTGTAACTCGAGAAATCGAATAAGAAAGAAATTCCTGTAATCTTCTAGCGTGAAGGTTTTTATCAATCCAATTGTTTATATTTATTTTAAATCATATTTTATCTTATAATAGATATCTCATCAAGGAGAGAGAGAGAGAGAGAGAGAGAGAGATATAAAACATATTTGTAATTTGTCAACATATTGATTTCTTATTAATCTATTAATATAAAAACAAAACAAGGTAGTTTTTCATTATCTTTAATTTACATGTTTTTTATTTTTTAAATATTTTATTCATATAACACTTACGTTATTTGTGTTAATTCATTTGTATAAAATTAATGTACACATTATTTTTATAGTAAGAAGATAAGCATTATATTTTGTAACGAAGCATTAAAATCAGCATCATCTTTAAAAGAAGCGCATGTCACAGGCTAGATTTACGATCGGTGATGTAATACAAGATACTGACATCATACTCAACTCCTTTTTGTATTTTAACTGGATTCATGGAAAGGAAAAGTTAAAATACATATATATGTCGATGTTTAGGAGTGTAGGATCAAAATAACTCGCATTTTGTTGAGTATAGGGATCGATAGGTGTGGCATGTGATTCTTTGTCAGATCGATCCAATTCCATTATGTACCTATACAGAAATATATATATATATATATATATACACACCTATCTGTTCCGTCCTCAATTCTGTCGGGCTTGACTTTAAATCGCTTAATTATCAAAATTAAATGACTATTTTTTAAAACGTGTTTAATACTAGTATTATCTACAATTATATTGTATCAATCAAAATAACACATAAATTTTAATTAAATTAAAACGTGTTTAATATTAGAAACATTTGCAATTATATGCCAATATTTTTGTGGCAATATATGTAACGAAAAATAATTAAGATGATTTTAAATTAAAAATATAATACGAAATAATAAAAATAGAAACAAAATATTAATTATATCATATATTTAAATTAAAGTATGTATTTTGTATTTTATGTCATACTAAAATATTAGTAATATTATACATACTAATACTAAATAAGCGGATAAGACTAATCATTTTGATTGGTTTTAGTAGTTCTCTAGTATTAAATAGTTATAGATAGAGGTATATATAACATGGTTATTAAATAGTATCGTGGCTGTGATAAAGATGTTAACGTTATCACCATTAAATAGTTACTTTCAATTATTTCGAGATCGTACGTAAGGTAGAAAATATTTGTTGAGTTTTATCAGGATCGTATATAATGAAACGCGATACTACTTTGTATGTGCATCGTATGAGCAACGTAGGATCATCAAAGGAACTTATATACAGGTATATATATATATATATATAAACTACTGTCGTATCTAAGTTCAAAGTCTTCGAGTATGTAAGTAGTATGTAGAATAGTATATACCTGCATTCTACTTACTGTGGTGCACTTCTCTAGAGCAATAACGTGAATGAATGCGATATAATACTAATGCGGTAGCATATAGTAAACGATACAGTCGCTGATGTAACGCGAACCGATTAAACGAATAGAATCGAGTTTAAGAGAAAAGAAAAGAAGAAAATAATAGAGAAAACACCTCTTTATTCAAACAACCATGCCATTATTTCAGTAAATAGAAAAGAGTATACTTGACTCTTTGTATAAACACATAGTGCAACATCTTTTTGCGAACACATATATAATTAATATTTTTTGTTATTCTTGTCTCACTTGTAACGTAATTCTATTCTATTT